AGCATTCACCTAAGATTGAGCTTTGTCTTTGCCTATAAACAGCTTAGCTTTCTTATCTAAGGTATTCTGCCTTGGGGCTGGAGAAAATGGCTCCGCAGTAAAGAGTACTCAATACTGTTCAAAGGACCCAAGTTCAGTCCCTAGGACCCACATCCAGTGGTTCACAACCACCTATAACTCCAGTTCCAAGATCCAATATTCTCTTCTGGCCCCCAAGGGTACACACATATGTGGTACTCACTCAGACACACATACATAAATGAAAATAATAATAAGGATATTCTGCCATGTTGCTCAAGGCCTTCCCCATCAAAGGTGCCCACCCACCCCACTCAAATGTGCTTATCCAACCAAGCCATAAAGGTATACTAGGTGGGTGTGGTGGCACATGACTTTAATCCCAGCACTCAGGAGGCAGAGGCAGGCAGATGTCCAGTGAGTTCAAGGCTAGCAGGGGCTACAGGGAGACCTTGCCTCAAAAAGACCAAAAACAGGTCTACCAGCTATGTCCCCATAGTCTATAGAGAATTCATTGTCCCAAAGTTCCTGTAGATGAAATGCTTGAGGAGGAGGATGGAGGGGGGAAGGGAGCACCAAGCAGTGCTTTAAGGGGATAGTGGGGAGTGTGACCAGAATTTCCAGCCTCCTGTTTACCAGCAGACTTTTTCCTTATCTTAATACAGGGTCTCCTTTAACCACAGCTGGCCTGGAACTCATTATGTAGACCAGGCTGCCCTCGATCTCACAGAGCTCTGCTTGCCTCTGCCTCCAGCGTGCTGGGATCGAAGGTGTGTGCCACCACACTGGTTGGCAGGCTTTTCCAGTGCTCCCCACCTCCATTCTCCTCAAGGCAGCTGCCGAGACTACCAGCTCACCTGCCTGGAAGATTCTTCTTTAAATTCTAATAAAATTGTCCTAAAACTTCCTTTTGGGTTCATTCTTAAATTATTTTATGAGTGAGACTGAGAGCCCTGTAAGGGACCCTGTTTCTCCCCCGTATCTCACGTGTGAGTCAGACTTGTCCAGGGAAGCAGAACCAACAGCATAGATAAAAGCACATGAGGAACCTGTCAGGGAATTGGCCCCTGTGATTATGTAAAGCAATGGTCCTATAACAGACCATTTGCAAGCGGGAGATCCCAGGATGCTGGCAGCATGACTCAGATCAAGTTCAAAACCCTGAGAACTTCCGGGGCCCCTGCTGTGAGTCCTGGAGGTAAAGCTACAGAAGAAAAGAGACTGAGTACCACTTGGGCTCCAAGAGAACTGGGTGGTGCCTACACATACCAAGAGGGCACATCTTCCCCAGTGAGTCCATTCAGACTTACACAAATCTCCAGAAACACCATCACACACATACCCAAAAGCTGTTGCTTTCCCAGTTGCCTGGGCATCTGTTAATTCGTTCAAAGTAATGATTATCACCTGAAGTTGGATTCACAGAGCCCCTTCAGTAGGGTTCCAAACTCTTGTGTCCCGGAACATAAAACTGGACAGTTGCAGCTGTTGCTGGGGCAGTCTCTTGGAAGATACACTTCCAAGGGAGGAAGCCAGCTGCAGCAGGGGGAGTTTAACGGCTCCATGGCCGACAGGCAGTCAGGCTTTTATACACCAGAGCAGGAAAGGCTCACCTAATTTGAATAGATGTTTTTTCATGCATGCTCTCTCTGTTACATGTAGCTCTACATGAAATATAACGACCCATTAGCATCTTAAAACTCCCCCAGGGCTGTGCAAAGATTTTAGGGTTATACAGAGACAGGTCACCTGAGGTCACAGGTGTGAGCACCTCGACCTGCTGGGTGACTTCAATCTTAGCCTTTGCCAACTCCTTATTTTTCAATATGCTAATTTTGGAAGTATTGCACAAGACCTCACTCTTGGGGCTGTTCTCTTGCCTAATTAGCAACTAAAATTTACTATCACAAAAACAAAGCAAGGGGCTGGAGAGATGGTTCAGCGGTTAAGAGCATTGGCTACTCTTGGCAGAGGATCTAGGTTCGATTCCCAACACCCACATGGTGGCTAACAGGACTGGACACCTTCCAACCTTGTATAACAGGAGTACACTTACATACAAGCAGCGCACTCATACACACAAAATAAATAACTTTTTTTTAAAGCAAAACAAAATGTATTCGAGACTCTCCTCGTAAGTTTTCGAGTTAACCAAAGAAAAGGAAGCTGTTGTTGCCTTTCCCAGCAAACGAACCCCGTCTCCATTCAAGCAGCTCTCAAAGTCAGTTTGTGATCATAACGACGTCAAGTGACTCTGTTGCCTCCTGGGCCCTCAATTAGAAAAGGTCAGTGAAGAAGCAGAGATTCTTGGAACAGATGTTCTGACCCAAAAGATTCAAAGTTACTGGGACAACAGTTCAGACAACTATTCTTACCAACATCACTTCTTTAAATCTAACATGATAAGCAGTTTGCCTACATGTACATCGGCGCACCACACACGTGCAGTGGCTTCAGAGACCAGAAGAACGTGTCAGAGCCCCGGGAACCGGAGCAGCCATCTGGGAGCTGCCATCTGGGAGCTGAGAAACATCTTGCCATCTCTCCGCTCCTTCCAATACCATTATTTAGAAGGGAAATGATGACAGCTCTCACACCTTCATAGAAATCCCTGCATCTCATGTGGGACTGGTCTCAACAAACATGAAGAAGTGATCGCTGCCAAGGTTCAGAATTGGCATTTGAGGAAAGCGAATCACCTTAATCACAAATAATTTCATTTTAAATTATTTAAATGTACTTTAACAATTCTGACTTTGGTCACTGTAACTATAGTGGGGCTTTTACTGTATGTTTCTATAGCAATAAGATAGGCAACTTTATTTCTACTGCTAGAAAATTCATTCAAAGAGAATCAATTTTAATGAATTCTTTTTAAACATCTGCATGTATAAAAGCCACTTTAGGAATATTATATTTGATTCTCCTCCTGAAAAGCAAAGCAACATTGATTTGGCTGGTCCTCTGAACTCAGATTTTTATTGAAAATTAAATATTACATAATTAACGTTACCTCTTTAACTCGTGTGATTCTTAAACTCCACAGACATCATTCCTCTCTGCTGCCTCTGCTCCTGCTTCACTATTTTAACCATGTTTCCTCGGGGACCTGGAGGAATACTCAAAAGACATTAAAAGGTATAAATTAGGGGCTGGAGAGGGCATTTAAGGGCACTGGCCCCTGTGGGCACTACATGTACAGGTGCACTTACATGTGGGCAACACTCATACACATAAAATAAAAATAAATAAATACTTTTAAATGTATAAATCATCATTGTGTTACCCAAAAACTCCATCCTGAAAAAATAAAGATCATGGCTTCATGTAATAGGTTATAGAACCTGTGACCCGCAATCCCAAGAATCCTCTGCACCAGCAATCAGTGTGAGATGCCTGTTCTCTAGGGAATGACATTCCTAAAAAAGACCTTGATCCCAAGCAGGGTGCAGTGATGCAGGCCGGTTGTCCCACCACTCAGGAGGCTCACAAGGTCAAGGGCAGCCAGGGCCACAAGTGAGTTCAACCCCGCCTAGTCAACTTAAGGAGAACCTGTCTGTCCTGAATGGGAGCAGTCACTTGTCCTGAATGTGTCTCAAGCCACTGGCTTGAGTGTGACATCCAAAATGTGTCACTGCTTCTCGGGAGAGCTTAGGACAGGCGCAACGGACAGAAGAGATTCTCACACATGACTGTTTGATTGCAATATGTGTTTACTAGGTCAAAGCATAACAAACACACATCAATACAAACACTCACGGGGAAACCCAGTTCTCTAGTAGTTAAGAGTCCCAAAGTCTCAGGGAGTACCTTCCAGAGGTTAAGCCTTCAGGCACTCTGTGTGGAGAAGTTCTCTCGTCCACCGTGATCGGTGCACTCTCCCGGCTGTGGAGCTGTCTCTCGCAGGTTCTGATCACGTCCGGTCATGGCAGACTCCATCAGTCTCTGGCTCTCAGGCTCGGGTCCTCGATCAGGTCTCATGTGAGGCTCTGGTCTGGTCTGGTCTTGGGCAGAGCTTCAGGCAGAGTTCAGGCTGGTCTCAGGTCTTGGGCAATGCGCTGGGATGAGGCCCACGGATTCAGAGTCTTGTGTAGCCAAGCATCAATGAAGTCCTGGAGCTGCTGGTTTTTACATGTTTCTCTTTTGGCTATAGCTCATTCCATTTACGTCATTAGCTTCAGCTGTTCTTTAAGATATGGGTCACACCATGTGGTCACTTATCACTAACACACAGGCACTCAACTCAGTGTAGGTTCTACTTGGTTGCTAGGTTACAACTTAGCTTCTACTTCACACAGTGTCACAGCAATGTTCAATTTGGTTTCAGAGTTTACAGAGTTAATATTCATCTTTAATTTCTAATTTCTAAATTCCTAATAAATTCCTAGGTTACAACTTAGTTTCTCATCCACCTATCTACTTCACACAGTGTCACATCAAGTTTCTAGTTTCATTTTAAAGTCACTCTTTATTTCTACTTTCCTAATACATTCAGTACAAGAGGTAGCGGTCTCAGGTTTTGGGCAATGTGCCGGGATGAGGCCCACGGATTCAGAGTCTCGTGTGGCCAAGCATCAAAAGAATCTTTTTAGCTACCAGATTTTATATATTTCTTTTCTGGCTGAAGTCCTTCTGACTTACGTCAGTAACTTCAGTGTTTTCTTGAGATATGGCTCACACCCTGTGGTCACTTATCACCAACACACAGACACTCAACTCACATAGGTTCTGTTTGGTTGCTGGGTTACAACTTAGCTTCTTATCTACTTATCTATTTCACACAGTGTCACAGCAATGTTCAGTTTGGTTTCAGAGTTTACAGAGTTAATATTCATCTTTAATTTCTGATTTCTAAATTCCTAATAAATTCCTAATACATTCAGTACACTGTCTCAAAACAGAAAGCGAAGATTTAAAATGATGGAGCCTAACTGTGTGAGGGTCCTAGATTCAATTTCCAGCTGTGACGGACCAGGGCTGACCTTGATCACTTCTGAATTCAGGCCTTTCTCCCTCTCAACACGGTTGTAAGGGCTTTTCCACCTATTGGTTTTAAAATCACAGCTGTTTTCTGCTTCCTCGAGCCCTCTGGAAGTTCTTCTTTTCCTGGTCTGTTCTGTGTTCCTCTTCTTTGTTCTATGACTATACCCATATATTCTAGGACTATACCCATATATTCTAGGACTATACTCATATATTCTATGGACTATACCTGTATATTCTGTTAACTATTCCCATATATTCTACGACTATACCTATATATTCTAGGACTATACCCATATAGTCTATGGACTATACCCATATGTTTTGTAGTTTTTTTCTTTTTTCTGTCTCCATACAATAAGCACTTTGCCTAGTACTCACAGCTCAGTCTTCACACCTAGAAGAGTACCAGGCACATAGTAAACATTCAGGCATTCTGTTGGCTAGAGATGTAGCTCAGTGTAAAATGAATTCTTTAGAGTGTGTGAGGCCCTGGTTCAGTCCTTGGCACTATAAACAATCTTCATTGAATAGTTAAATTAATGAAATAAAATTTAAATATGGAGGTAGTATACAATATCCATTCACTTTACCCACTAAGTCTGTCTTTGCCCATGACCTCTGACCTATAGGGACACAGTGTGGATTAAAATAATCCATAACAAGGAGGCAGAGTGAGTTTATACATCATATATCAGGCAAAGACAATCAGAAAATGAATACTTCTCAAACAAGTGGCTTTGAATTCAGGCTTAAAGAATTCACCAACAAAAACCAGTATATTTGCAGAGAAGTGTCAAGGGAAAGGACTTTGTGTCTCTTGGGACACTGGCACCCCCCATGCCCTGTCTGGTCAGGTGAAAGTGCTTAACCTGTGCTCTCCTGCAGAAAGGAGAGGCCAAGACCATGCTGTCTTTGTTTATCTGTGTCTAGTCTTTGTGAAAAGAGGAAGCAAAGAGACCTCCCATATCATCTCTTTTATATTTACCTATTTATTTTTCTTTTTTTTTTAATGTGTATGAGTGTATTGCCTGCTTGTATTTAAGTACACCTGTGTCACACAATGCCTTCAGAGGTCAGAAGAGTGGGTCAGATCCCCTGGAACCGGAGTCAGAATTGTTGTTAGCCACCATGTGGATGCTGGGATTCAAACCCAGATCTTCTGCCAGAGCAGCTGGTGTTCTTAATCACCAAGCCATCTGCTATCTCTCTAGCTCCATATCATCTTCTTAAATGTGCTCTCAGCAATAAACCTAGAGCCACGGGGCACATTTCAGAGTGTGCACTAGGCTCCCAATTCCAAGTCCTCTGCTGTGAAGGTCTGAATAGCACAAAACAGTAAACTAGCTCCTAATTTTTATACTAGGGCACAATTGAGACTAAAAAATAATGCATAAACTGCTTAAATGAGGGAGACATGCAGACTCCTGTGAGCAAGTCCTCCCAGGACCTCACAGCTCTCCTAGAACTGAAGCCAAGTACACACAGTGGCCTGTGTGGAAAGGAGGATGTGCTAGCCCAACAGACAGATTGTTAAAGTAAAGGTAAAGGCCAGACACACACAAAAACCTCTTTGAGGGGCTGGAGACATGATTCTGCTGCTAAAGGCATTTGTCAACAAGCTGATGGCTTTACTGTGATTCACAAGGTGGGAGGAGAGAACACATTCCCACAAGTTGTCCTCCAACTTGCACACCCACACACATTCTCTCTCTGTCTCTGTCTCTGTCTGTCTCTCCCTCTCTCTCAGTTAACTAGAACTTTAAAAATGTTTAAGTTCATTGCCTATATGCAAGCCAAGGTGTGCTGCTGCACACCTTTAATCCCAGCACACGGGAGGCAGAGGCAGGCAGGTCTCTGTGAGTTCAAGGCCAGCCTGGTCTACATAGCCAGTTCTAGGCCAACTGAAGACACAGGAAGACCATGTCTCAAAAAAAAAAAAAATTAATTAATTATAATGATAATAATAACTAAATATGCACCTCCCAGTGTAGAGAGAGAAGAGGTTAATTCCAACAGCATGGAGGAACACACCTGTAATCCCAGCATTCAGGAGGCTGAGGCAGAAGAACACCTTGAGTCTCAGACCAGTCTGGGGTACATGGTGATTTTAAAGCCAGTGTGGGCTTCATAGTGAGACCTTGTCTTAACTACTGACAGCTGTTACTCTAGTGGGCAGAAGCCTCAGAGTGCTGGACAAAGTGCCTTCCTCTCCTATCCTCCACTGCTGATTGCACACAGCCTGCCACCCCGACACTGCCCCTCCCCTTCTCCCTGAAGACTGAGCCGCAGCTTACTGCAATTTACCTCATTAACTCTTTCAGCTCTTCAGTGAAATTTTATGTGCATGAGTGTTTTGCCTGCTCTTAACCCCTGAGCCATCTCTCCAGCCCCTTCAATGAAACTTTTCGAAAATTTTATTTATGCATATATATGTTTTGTCTACGTGTACATATATGAACCACGTGCATGTAATGCCTGAGGAGATGGAAAGAGAGCTTCAGATCCCCAAGCTGTCCTGTGGGTGTGGGGAAATAGTGCTCTTAACCCCTGAGCCCTCTCTCCAGCCAAGGCCCTAGTGAAACACCTGTAGTGCAATCTTCATGATTTCAGCTCCCAATCCCATCCTGAATTCCTACTTTCTGTTCTACTTGTCATTACACTGGATGTGGCATTTACAAAACTGGACTGATTTTTTGGTCTATCCTACAGTCAATATAAATTCCACAAGAGAATTATATCTCCTTGGCTCCCCAGATGCAGTTCCAATGACCAGACACCGTTCCAGTCTCAATGCACTTGGATGAAACAAATTTTGAGTGCACTGAAGTTAAATGTTACTTAGCATAGTATTAATGACAGTATCATGTTGCATTTTGAAATAATAGATGCAGGCAGATGTGGCGCAGGCACATGAGGGAATATAGACGGAATGAGACATGGGGAAGGAGCAGCCATATGCAAGATCAGATGCAACCATCAATTTAGCTGAAGTATTTCCAAGAATTCCCTAACACAACCAGGGATTGTGGCAGGCTTTCTAGCCCAGCACTAGCCTCAAGAACTTGACTCCCCTGAGGTGAAAATTTCCCTATAACTCACCTTGGTAACAAATCTTAACTACCAAGACACTAATCCAGCGTGGCGACAGATAATGCCATGATCGTTCGCTTTTGAATTAAACGGTTAGAAACGCCCTTGGATGGCAAGGTACATTACAGCCATTTTCTGGAAAGTGGGTGGCTCTGAGAAGAGCCTTTTAGGTGAGTTGAATGGGTGACAAGAAAGCCTTACGCCCTCTCCCCTCGGATGCGGCGAGCCAGCTGGATGTCCTTGGGCATGATGGTGACGCGCTTGGCGTGGATGGCGCACAGGTTGGTGTCCTCGAACAGCCCCACCAGGTAGGCCTCGCTGGCCTCCTGCAGCGCCATCACGGCCGAGCTCTGGAAGCGCAGGTCGGTCTTGAAGTCCTGCGCGATCTCGCGCACCAGGCGCTGGAACGGCAGCTTGCGGATCAGCAGCTCGGTGGACTTCTGGTAGCGCCGGATCTCGCGCAGCGCCACGGTGCCCGGCCGGTAGCGGTGCGGCTTCTTCACGCCGCCGGTGGCCGGCGCGCTCTTGCGGGCGGCCTTGGTGGCCAGCTGCTTGCGCGGGGCCTTGCCGCCGGTGGACTTGCGAGCCGTCTGCTTGGTCCGAGCCATAACAGTAAAAACTAGAAGGAACGCAGAGACTTCACGCACTTTCCTTCAAAGGCATAAATATATATACCTTCACAGACGTCCTGATTGGCTTTGATACTTTTCAAAAGGCCCGCGCAGTGAAACTATTGGACAAAGGCTTAATGAGGTGATTAGCAAATTGTCGTACACTGATTGGATGCCTGACTGCCTTTTCGATCTCTTTGCTGTAGTCTAGGACGCCGCGTGTTTTTCAAATTTCTGATTCCACAATTCACAATTTTAAAGGAACCACTTTGAGACCTGGGGATATGCAATCCTGGGTTAGAAATGTGGTAATGAGGCTCGAGATCTAAAAAACCACTTCAAAAGCATGTTTTCCTCCCTCAGGCTGTGTTGATTTGGGAGTGTTCATCTCCCCCGCCCGCCCCGCTTCTGCTTGGACTGCAGGTTTCTAGATCAACTGTTATACTTTATGCACAGGATCCCTAGAGTATCTGGAGCATTTCCAGGAAAGCGCCTGGCAGGAAAGCAACTGCAACAAAGGATAATTTACTTCTCAGTGCGCAGTTTTACTTTCGGCTAAGGACTTGAGGCCTTAACTTTGCTTCCAACCATTCCCAAAGTACTGACGGCTTTTAGGTTAATCGTTCACAGAACCACTTTCTGAAACACTGTAAGATACTAAATGTTGGACTCGACTGTCAAAGCGCTGCGTGCTTTTCTAGGGCCTGAGACCAATAGCATGTACTTGTAAATACATTGTTCTTCAGGTGGAAGCCAGTTAAACTTTGTATTTAGTGGCTTAGGGGATTAAGGTGGTGTTTCAAAGGTTAACCCTGTGGATGAACAAGTTAGATGCAAACTGGAATTGTTTGCTGCCAGCTCTCATACGAAGAAGTAGATGGCTCTGAAAAGAGCCTTTGGGTTCGATGATAGTACGCTCGCTGCTTTACTTGCCCTTGGCCTTGTGGTGGCTCTCGGTCTTCTTGGGCAGCAGCACGGCCTGGATGTTGGGCAGGACGCCGCCCTGCGCGATGGTGACGCGGCCCAGCAGCTTGTTGAGCTCCTCGTCGTTGCGGATGGCCAGCTGCAGGTGGCGCGGGATGATGCGCGTCTTCTTGTTGTCGCGGGCCGCGTTGCCCGCCAGCTCCAGGATCTCGGCCGTCAGGTACTCCAGCACGGCCGCCAGGTAGACCGGGGCGCCGGCGCCCACCCGCTCCGAGTAGTTGCCCTTGCGCAGCAGTCGGTGCACGCGGCCCACGGGGAACTGCAGGCCGGCCCGGGACGAGCGGGTCTTAGCCTTGGCGCGCGCCTTACCGCCCTGCTTACCGCGTCCAGACATGGTGAGAAAAAAAAGCTGTCAGAGTTTATCCAGCCTGAAGCTAAAAAGACACAGCAGATCCATTTATAGTCAACGCAGGACGCGAAAAAGGAGTGTTTTCATTGGCCAGAATTAAAATAGTCACCTAAGCCAATAGCATCGGGCTTTTGGAAGACGCCTACTCTGATTGGACAGCGTGTAGATGACGTTTCCAGGTTCGTTTCAGCATAGGCACAGCGTTGCATAAAAAGCAGAAGTAACGTAGCCCATTATACAACCACCACTCGCTAGCCTAGGAATTTTCTATTGTCCTCCGTCATGCCCGAGCCCGCGAAGTCAGCGCCCGCCCCGAAGAAGGGCTCCAAGAAGGCGGTGACCAAGGCGCAGAAGAAGGACGGCAAGAAGCGCAAGCGCAGCCGCAAGGAGAGCTACTCGGTGTACGTGTACAAGGTGCTGAAGCAGGTGCACCCCGACACGGGCATCTCGTCCAAGGCCATGGGCATCATGAACTCGTTCGTCAACGACATCTTCGAGCGCATCGCGGGCGAGGCGTCGCGCCTGGCGCACTACAACAAGCGCTCGACCATCACGTCCCGGGAGATCCAGACGGCCGTGCGCCTGCTGCTGCCTGGGGAGCTGGCCAAGCACGCCGTGTCCGAGGGCACCAAGGCCGTCACCAAGTACACCAGCTCCAAGTGAGCGCGCGCAGCGCCCTGAACCCAAAGGCTCTTTTCAGAGCCACCCACTCGTCATTCAAAGGACTGTAGCTACAGATTTGTTTCGTCAGCCGGCCCGGGCTAATAAATAAGGTTGCCATTTGTTAGCGGGTTATAAGCGGTGATTCTACTCAAAGTTGGTTTAAGAAATTGTTTGCAGATGAATTTTTGACAGATGAAACTGTCAATTCCAACTCCCTTTTTGAAGTTAACCCTTTACCAACACAAAATTGCGGAAATAAACGCTGTTTGTAACTGCATTGTAGATTTGAAACTTGCTAAAGCAGGAACATACCGTGCAATCCTCAAGTAGGAAAGTTTTTTAATATAAAACCTATTAGGAAATATAACCCTCCTCACACTATCATGTTTATAAAAGCTTGAGTGTGTAATGGTAATAAGGCTCAGACTCCGTGATCAATAGCCTAGTGTTTTTAATTACCTTTGTGATTTGCACACAAAGCAAATTAGTGGGAGTATTAAGTGACCCCCCCCCCACTGGGCAATGAGAATTGTGAAAAGAAATTACCCCAAGTATCATTGTTTAGGTTTTTACTTTTGATATCCTACACTAATTGTACGAATCTTCTTAAACAATTTATTCAGGAAAAGGAATGTCCAGCCATGATTTAAAAGCTCTTTTGGGATAAGATACAGTTCTGTCCACTTTGAATCCTGAGTTCTTGACATTCATCCCTCTGAGCATTTTCAACCAAAATGGAAAATAGAAACTGCTGCATGACATTTCTGCAGACTAATAAACACGTGACTGTGATAGGAAAATTCCCAGAATGCTGTGGCTCAAGACTAATTCCAAATGCTAGAAAGGCAGAATTGGTCCAGAGCAGAGAAGCCTGCTGACAGGCCTTAATCAGGCAATGGCCTGGGGGCTTGGCCGCTTCTCAGAGTCAGAGGTCTTCCAATGATGGTGTAAATGGTACTGCTCTAACAGCCCAAGTCCCTCTATAGGTATTATGGAGACATTCTATATCCTTTACCTATTAAATGGTCTCTTCATTCTTCACTGCAAGTAATGTGAGGCCTTTCCCAGGACTCTCTAAGGTCTCTCAAGAGCCAATAACAATTAATTAGGAAAAGACTTCAAACAAACGAGGACGATGTTTGCTGTGCCTGGTGGTTCATACCAGTGTGATGGGATTAGGGAGGCAGAAGCACATGTTGAACAGCACTAGAGTAATGTTCTATTTACCTTCAATCTTTTTGTTTGTGTTTTCTCTTTTTCTTTTTCCTGGAAAGAATCTCTCTGTAGTCCCAGCTGGCCTGGAACTCACTATGTAGATCTCACAGGGATCCACCTGCCTCTGCCTCCTGAGTGTTGGGACTATGCCACTGTGGAACCCTCCTCCTTGGCCCTCTCCCCGGGACTCCCTAGACCCCTGCCCCTATTTAGGACTAACTGCTCTTTTCACTTCTGTAAATCACTTGGCTTGAGGGAACCAGAGGGACAAACTACACCGTCTCCATTTTCACTGCTGATTCCTCCATTTTTGTGATGTCTCATGGTCATAGACTAGGCAAGCCCGGACATGTCCAGGGGGCCTGCGTAGGTTTGAGGCCTTATAAGGAATAAACAGGGTCCTCTAGCCCTGACGTTAACAGTCAGCACATTCCACAGCTCTGAGGGCAGCACCCACCAATGAGAGGCGTCCAAGACTGTAACCACCAATCAATTCAAAAGTATGTTGGCGCTCACGGGCTCTTTGGACCAATCAAAATATAACTCTGTAATTCCCCTCCTCCCTTTGTCCGAAACCTATGAAAAGCTCCCTCCCCCTACAATCGGCGCTCTCAGAGGAACCTACCACGTTAGTTTGGTCTGAGAGTCTGAGCTTAAGCCCGAATAAAGACTCTGTTCTTGTATGCTCTCTGGACTCCGTGGTAATTCTTGGGGATCTGTTCTCTGAGCACAACACCACCATGCCTGGTTTCAATAAATTTTAAAGCTGTATTTGACCTTTAATTATGTGTATGGGCCTGTGTGTTAAGGTATTTTGCTGTGAGCTGCCCTACATGGGTGCTAGGACACTAGCTCAGGACCTCTGTAAGAGCCATTGCTCCAGAACCAAACCTATATATTTGCAGTGTCCATATTTCCACTTATTTCTGCTAAAATAAATACTAGAAATATAAGTATTTAGGAACGGGATAAAAAGTCTTAAGAATTTCAAACTACAGAATCTAAGCTCTTCCCACAGCCTCCACCATGGATCCAGGCTACTGTCAGTTTTCCAGGTGAGTTGTGGAAGCTGGGCTCCAACTGGTCTCCTTACTCCTGGGCCATCCCACTGCAGTGCTTACCATCCAGCACCTGTATGCATTGTTTCAAATGATAAATCAGATCTTGTCATTCTCAGCCCCTACCACAGAGAGAGGAAAAACCATAAAGCAGCTCCATTGACCCCCCCCAAGGCCCCCTAAGAACTTGCTGTGCTCCCCAGGGATTCCTGAGTAGTCTTAGAGTTGGAACCTCCTTCACGTCTCAAGGTCGATTTTCTTCTGACCATGTTATGAATAAAGCTTGTATAACCAGATCATTTGTAAATAACTTCCTCCCCGTACACATCAGGCCTCTTCCCACTTCTAATGAACACACAACTTAGCACCGTTTTGTTTGTACACCCTCATCCAATGAGTATCAAATCCAGGAATTAATTTTTTTAAATGTGTTCATAGTAATTCTCATCTAAAACCCCCACTGTGGAACGGTGTCTGGCACCTACTGCACCTTCAATTTTTTTTTAATTAATAGTCTCACTAATTTTCACCCTCAAATCAGGGCCTTAATCTCCAATAGCGTTTGATTCTTTTCGCTTACCCACAAAAATTACCTGTCACCCATAAACACCTGAAATCAACATGTCTATACTGCATGATACAGAGTCAAAGAAATTAAATCATCCTCTCAGGAAACGAATCAAGGCAGAGGAATCCACAGCGCAGGGATCTCCGGGAAATCCAATGTCAACAAAGACCAAGGGCTCTGCTGGAGCCCCGATCGACACCTGAACAGAATCTCTGAAAAATTTTTAAACACATCTGGGATATTTCCGATGTGGCCTGAGTCTTTATTAGGGAAACAGGTTTCCAGTAGGATTGGTAAAATTTGAGAGTGCGGAAATACTGAGCATTCTGGGGTTAAAAGTCTTGACGCCTTATTTTTATTTTTGATGTCGTGTTCCTTAAAATTAATGGTTTGAATGTTTACATAACATTGCGCATTAAACTGGGTTTTTTGTTTTGTTTTAATATTTTTATATTGTCAGAATTGGTATCTAATCCTCCTCGAGAACCACCGCGGAAATGGAGCAGCTCCAGGCGGCCTCACTCCAAGCCTGGCGCATGTGCCCGGCGCCGCAGCTCGGTGCCCGCACCCGGAGAGCCTGGAGCGCGCGCTGCGCCCGGAGCCCGCAGGTGTTCCCTTCCCACAGGCCACTGTCCCCAAAGCCCACAGGCCGCGCTGTGCCCGAGGGCTCCATACCCTAAAATGCAGTTGGTGCCCACCCTAGAGGTACACTATGTACAGGGGCGTAAGACAGATGACTGTACCCGGCTAATTGCGCCACCGCGAACCCTCCAACCCAGAAACAGCCCCCCACAGCCTTTGTCCCAGCGGCGTCATCAGGAGCGCGCGGCCTTTGTCCATGCGCTTCGCTCCATCTTTATGCAAAAGCTTGCTCCTTCCTGTTCTAAAATCCTTCCCGACTTAGCCTTGTAAAGACTTAAAACCAGGAAAACATTTTCTGCCACTCACTCTACAGACAGCCTCTAGACTCCAACGCTCAGATATTCAATCACGAGTGCCAGATCTTTTACTAGAGAGAACATGGGTGGCCCTGAAAAGGGCCTTTGTGGGAGGACAGCGGTGCGAACGCATCAGCCGCCGAAGCCGTAGAGCGTGCGGCCCTGTCGCTTGAGCGCGTAGACCACGTCCATGGCCGTGACCGTCTTGCGCTTGGCGTGCTCCGTGTAGGTGACGGCGTCGCGGATCACGTTCTCCAGGAAGACCTTCAGCACTCCGCGGGTCTCCTCGTAGATGAGGCCGGAGATGCGCTTGACGCCGCCGCGCCGGGCCAGGCGCCGGATGGCGGGCTTGGTGATGCCCTGGATGTTGTCGCGCAGGACTTTGCGATGGCGCTTGGCGCCGCCCTTGCCCAGGCCCTTCCCGCCCTTGCCCCGACCTGACATATTGTAGTTACTAGAGTAAAACCGGTTCAACTATGAGGAGGTGGTGTCGGGGGTGGTCAAGGCGCTTCCTTATATGCAGGCCTGGCGGACCTAATTGAAGACTAAAACCGCGCGCTCGCCCCACCCCCTAACCCCGCCTGTGGCCCCGCCCCTGTTGACTTGACAATGACTCCAACGCCCAGGGTTCGGACTCCGGGAACTCGGTCTCCCCTGAAGTTCCTTCCCCGAGTCCTTCGTACCGGAGGGGAGTACTAGGTCGTAGCGTCCTCGGTTAGGTTCATTGGCCCCTGGCACGCGTCGGGGCGACCACAGAGAAGCTGGACACTGCAGACCCGGCCCAGCAGGTTCCAGCTTCCGATGCGCCTGGAAAGGGCCAAATCCTGGCGGGCAACCGGGCACCCCCACACACCACCCCCTCGTGACCTTGACCTCAGGGAACGTCTGGTCCGAAGTTTGTGTTCCCGGGTGTGCGCGGGTCTGCTCCTGCTGAGCCGAGCTGCGCTGTCACCCGCGGTACAGAGCCCCAGCTGGTTCGGGGCTGCTTTTCTTTTCCCTGGTCCAGGGTGTGACTCGTCTTCTCGTGTGCACGGAGGAACTTGCCAGGGTGTGCACGTCCGCGTGCTCGGGGCTGGTAGCGGCGAGATTCCTCACCCAGGGGCTCGGTACTGAAACGTGAGTCCTCAGGCTTTTTTGAAAAGTTGTTGCATTCCTATTTCCAGTAAATTTAAGAGTGTTATTTGGAGACCTCCTAACCCGGAGAGCAGAGTGGCGCAGCGGAAGCGTGCTGGGCCCATAACCCAGAGGTCGATGGATCGAAACCATCCTCTGCTATGTCTTCATGTTTTTTTTCTAAAGTACTTTAGGTTTGATTCATATTTTTAAAAATTTATACTTCTGCAGGAAAAACATTTTTCACGGGCACTCAAGAACTAACTGATGTGCCCTCTCAGTAATAAATTACTTGGTTACCTGGATTTATAAAGCCAGCAAACTGCTGAACCAAGCCGAGTGCCAAGGATTAAGAACCAGGAACCTGTTTCTTACTCCATAATCCTCACAGCCTTACCTGCCAAGGGGTTACAGTGAGCGACTAGAAACCCATCGAGGGAGGGAGAGGCTTTCTCCTCTGAACTGGACGCCCAGGTCAGCATTGGGGACTGCCGAGAGCTTGCAGCCTTGTTTTCTGACCCCGAATATATTTTTAACAATGAAGACTACACTGCGTGTATTCTTGGTTTTGTTTTGCTTTGCTTTGCTTTGGTTGCCCATTTTGAGACAGGGTCTCCTTGTAGACCCAGCTGGCCTGGAATTCGCTGTGGAGATCGGACTGGACCGGAACTCACAGACATTCGCCGAGAGTGCGCTAGAACCAACCCCCAGCTTAGTGTAAAATTTTTAAATAAGACAGATTGATGATTGCAGACCAACCGCCTACTAGCCCATGGGCTTGGGGAAAGTGTTCACCTAACAACACGCACTCACAGTTTAAGATTTAGTACGCCAAAGGACACGGTGCAAGTGGAGATAGGCACAAAATCGAAGGCTGAGAAGCCTTCCTCCTCCACTCCAGTGACGTGCTTCTCGAGCACTGCTGGAACGCCTGCCAGCCGTCCCAATCAAGTGATGTCTGCTTGAACTTCAAAGTTGTCACAGTGTGGGCTGGTCGCTGACTACCACATGTCCATGGGTCATGTCTACTTTGAATATGCTGCAGGCCTGTGTCAGTCTGGCTGCCTGCCTTAGGGTTGTAGAACAGCATCAGCCACAGCTGTGTGAACACTCCCGGATTTGACTCCAGACCTTGATCGAGGTTCATCACCACAGCACTTCTTCAAAGAAGTCAGTGAAAACTTAGCAGAGCAGGTTTGCTGCGTGACTTTGCCCTGGCATTTACAGACTTCAGGAAAAGTGGTAAGTTTTGACCCAAAACTTGAGTGTTTGTTAGATACCCAATAAAAACATTCTAAGTAAAAGAAACCAAAATACTGACCTGTGTTAGGTCAGCGTTTCTAACTGTAATAATTCAGTGTGCTAGAGTGTGGAAGTGAGGGACCCATGTGAGGGAGAGGATTCTTGAAGAGAAGTGGCTGTATTTGGATCACTTCCTATTCACCCACAGAGCTTCACCCCAAATAATATAAAATGTTGGAACACAAGACACAGGTACTCATCGTATGACATTGGTTCAGTCAGAGGGGGGTGGCTGCCTATGTATGGATGTATGCCATGTATGACTGACCACTTCATATTGGTTATCACTACTTAAACATTTCGTACACAAACTCAGCCAAACAACTCTATAACACAAAGCACACATGCACACACACAAACACACATGTACACTTGACCCTACCAAATGTTCCTCCATCCCAGTCAGCACAAACTTTGTTGTAACAGAAAAAAAAAATCTTGGAGAAGTATAAGATTTCTGTTTTACACGGTATCTGGAAGTCTTGCCACTTACACCACCGTTGCCCTTGGCGCTTAAGCTGTAGACAGCTTGTGCCGACTGAACACCTGAGGACTGTTTCAAGCACTCTCTCTGCTCGAGGAAAAACGGTGCCATTCCATCTATAGTCAGGGCTTTTGCAGAATTGAAGGATGTCTTTGTGTGAAATAAGCTCACATGAAAGACAACTATAGAATTCAAAAACAAATATGTGTGTGAGGAATTCACATTTCTATTTAAGCTGTTCACCAGATGTTACCCTATAACAGGAAAGAAAGTCTGTACAAAAGGCCCCATTTCTGCACTCCAGGAACCATTAGTAATTGTGCTGCATAGTTTTAGTTGTCAACTTGACTCAACTGGGAAGAGGGAATCTCAACTGGGTAATTAACTTCTATTAGACTGGCCTGTGTGCATGTCTGTGGGGTATTTTCTTGATGGCTGAGTGATCTGGGAGGACCCACTGTGGGCAGTGTCACCCCAGGGCAGCTGCTTCTGTGTTGTATAAAAAAGCAGGCTGAGCACAGGCCAAGGGAGCAAGCCAGTAAGCAGCATTCCTCCATGATCGGTGCTCCAGGTTCCTGCCCTGAGTTCCTGCCTTGGCGTCCATTGATGATGGCACACTATAAGCCAAATAAACCCCTTCCTCCCCAAGCTGGCTTTGATCAATGTTTTTATCACAGCAATAAGAAAGAAACTAAAACAATACTCAAGAAAAATCAAGTCACAAATAAGCTCAAAAAGCCATCACCTCCAGTGTCTGGGATTTAGAAAAATAAAGGAAGTGTTTGGTGTGTAGTCTGCTGACACATGATGCATGACATAGTGGTCAGGTCAAGATACAGGTCCCAGAAGTCCACTGACACACCTCAAAGAAACTATCCACAAAATAGAGCTTTCAGCCAGACATGGTGACCCACACCTGTAATCTCAGCATTTGGGAGCTGGAAGCAGGAGAATCAGGAGTTCAAGGGCAGCCTTGGCTATATTAGAGCCTGTCTAATTGATTGATTAAGTAATTAAAAATAAAAATGAATAAATGAGATATATACACTTTCAATCTACATCCTGCTATGATACTAAGCACCATACAGAACATCATAAATTCTATAAATGTTTCTTCCCTGGGATTTTTTTTCTTAGATTTTAATTTTTATTTGAAAACAATTTAAATTTTTAGACAAATGATTTTAGTATAGAAGTTTGATTTTTGTTTTCATACAGAATATAAAGATTCCTTCATTAATCTCTCACATGAAGGGGATTACAGGCCAGAAAGAAGATACGCTCCGCACACAAAGTACACCTATATGTGCAGCACTGGGGACAAAAGGCGTAGTGGTCCTACACGTGAACTAGGATCAAGTGGTGACACTACACATTGTAGGAGAAATATTCTGGTTCGTCAGATTCAAGAAGCAAATATGACAGAAAAACTGCAAAATGATGAAGTCAGCAACCTTAGGGCCCTGCAGGTGCTGCGGGATGTCTTGCAGGGCTGTAGTGTCCACATGGAGACAACAGGAAGAGCTATTTGTAGAGAGTCAGCAATGAGGGACAGTGAGGGACTTCTCACAAAAGCAAAGTAATGTCTTGTCAATGGTCAACACAAAACAGAAGGAAAAACGAGTGCTAGCCTGCCAGGAGCACACACCAGGCAAAGACAGTAACAACTTCCTCACTGGTGAGCATGAATCTTTAATGGTTACACTTTTGCCTCTTCTCGTCAAATTCAGGCATGTCTTACTTTAGGAGAACAGTAGGGTTTGTTTGTTTTTTAACTTTAAAAAAAATTATTGAGAATTTCATACATGCATATAAGGTGTTTTGATCAAATCCACGCCTACTCCCTCCCCTCCAACTCTTCCTGTACCTCCCCATCACTTTTTTTCTGACAACTTCATGTACTCCTTTTTTTTTTTGTAAATGAGGCTTTTTGCTACTCTAACAGTCCGTTCTCTGAAGAGGTAACCCTAAAATTGTTTGGGGATTAGATAAAAGCTTCTAAACACTTTTGACATTTTTGGCCTTTGGAACAGAGTATGTTGCTAAGAGGCCCAAAGACATTTTGATTTTTAGCCAAGAAACTGGCTACTTTTCTTTGGGGTCTTTTTTCCCTAACTGCCTAGCCAATTCCTACCTCCTACTCTTATCACACCATCCTCTGAAGAGGTTACCCAAATTGCCCATAGGAATCGGGACGGAGACTACTCTGGCTTCTTCCATGCTGAACAGGGACCCAGGGTGAGGCAATTGGAGTACCCCTTCAGTGGGTCTATCTAAAAGACCCCAAATTGTATAACTCTTATCTCGAGGAGGAAAGGAAAGTCTTTGAATCATGAATAGGAGATGTGAAGGAGAAGTAAAGGCAAGAGTAATTAGCATTACCAGCTCTAGACAGGGAAGTAGAAAAAAGTCAGAACAGGGCAAATTTCAAATGTTCATATCAGAGTCCCTTGGAATTTCTTGATGAGAGCTTCCAAAAGCATCTCTATTGGGTTCCTCCTGAGAGGAGAGAGTT